CCTTGAACTTTCCCACATTTTGTCACATTACAGCCACAAACATGAATCAGTTTTATTGGACTTCCAGGTGAAAGACCAACACAAAGTGGTGCACACGTGAGAAGTGGAACCAAAATCATACATGACTCCAAACATTTTTTTACTAATAAACAACTGCAAAGTGGGGTGTGTGTAATTATTCAGCCCCTGAGTCGATACTTTGTAGAACCAGCTTTTGCTGCAGTTCCAGCTGCCAGTCTTTTAGGGTCTGTCTCTACCAGCTTTGCACATCTACAGACTGAAATCTTTGCCCATTCTTCTTTGTAAAACAGCTCCAGCTCAGCCAGATTAGCTGGGCAGCGTTTGTGAACAGCAGTTTCCAGATCTTGCCACAGATTCTGGATTGGATTCAGATCTGGACTTTGACTCGGCCAGTCTAACACATGGATATGTTTGGTTTTGAACCATCCCATTGTTGCCCTGGCTTTATGTTCAGGGTCGTTTTCCTGCTGGAAGGTGAAGCTCCGCCCCAGTCTCAAGTGTTTTGCAAACTCCGAGAGGTTTTCTTCCAAGATTGTCCTGTATTTGGCTCCATCCATCTTCCCATCAACTCAGACCAGCTTCCCTGTCCCTGCTGAAGAGAAGCCCCCCCAGAGCATGATGCTGCCACCACCATATCTGACAGTGGGGATGGTTCAGAGTGATGTGCAGTGTTAGTTTTCACACACAGCGTTTTGCATTTTGGTCTCATCTGACCAGAGCACCTTCTTCCACATGTTTGCTGTGTCCCCCACATGGCTTGTGGCAAACTGCAAACAGGACTTCTTATGGTTTTCTGTTAACAATGGCTTTCTTCTTGCCACTCTTCCATAAAGGCCAACTTTGTGCAGTGCACGACTAATAGTTGTCCTGTGGACAGATTCCCCCACCTGAGCTGTAGATCTCTGCAGCTCGTCCAGAGTCACCATGGGCCTCTTGGCTGCATTTCTGATCAGCGCTCTCCTTGTTCGGCCTGTGAGTTTAGGTGGACGGCCTTGTGTTGGTAGGTTTACAGTTGTGCCATACTCCTTCCATTTCTGAATGATGGCTTGAACAGTGCTCCGTGGGATGTTCAAGGCTTGGGAAATCTTTGTGTAGCCTAAGCCTGCTTTGAATTTCTCAATAACTTTATCCCTGACCTGTCTGCTGTGTTCTTTGGACTTCATGGTGTTGTTGCTCCCAATATTCTCTTAGACAACCTCTGAGGCCGTCACAGAGCAGCTGTATCTGTACTGACATTAGATTACACACAGGTGCATCTATTTAGTCATTAGCACTCATCAGGCAACGTCTATGTGCAACTGACTGCACTCAGACCAAAGGGGCTGAATAATTACCACACCCCACTTTGCAGTTGTTTATTTGTACAAAATGTTTGGAGTCATGAATGATTTTCGTTCCACTTCTCACGTGTGCACCACTTTGTGTTGGTCTTTCACCTGGAAGTCCAATAAAACTGATTCATGTTTGTGGCTATAATGTGACAAAATGTGGGAAAGTTCAAGGGGGCCGAATACTTTAGCATCCACTGTATCCGGTGTTTTAGAAAGCGACTGCTGTTTGAATGGTCCTGTCGCATTAAATCCGTCTTTTACTTCACTGACACAAGACCGACTACAGCCAGCTTGAAGGCCTGTGGTACATAGCCGATCATTAGAGATAGGTTGATCATATTTAAGATCGAAGCATTAATTAATGGCAGGACTTCTTTGAGCAGTTTTGTAGGAATGGGGTCTAAAAGACACGTTGATGGTTTGGAGGAAGTAATTATAGAAGTTAACTCAGAAAGATCAATTAGAGAAAAAGAGTCTAACTTAACATCAATGGTACTAAGAGTAGCTGTAGATAATATTACATCTGTGGGATGATTATTGGTAATTTTTTCTCTAATGATAAAAATTTTATTTGTGAAGAAGTTCATGAAGTCATTACTAGTTAACGTTAAAGGGATGGTTGGCTCAACAGAGCTCTGACTGTTTGTCAGCCTGGCTACAGAGCTGAAGAGAAACCTGGGGTTGTTCTTATTTACTTCAATCAGTGATGAATAGTAAGATGTTCTGGCTCTGCGGAGGGCTTTCTTATAAAGCAGCAAACTATTTCTCCAGGCTAAATGATGATCCTCTAAATCTGTGACTCTCCAGCTTACGAGTCGTCTGCTTTAGGCTACGTGTTTGAGAATTATACCACGGAGTCAGGTACACAGCTGCAGAGAGATTCAGTTTCCTGTCCAGAGCTGGTCCTGGTTCAGTTCTGCAGATACTTCAGAGCAGAACCGGCAGCAGGAGGCGGCAGAGCAGCAGGTGGCGTCAGTGATCTGTGACGATGCTGTGTTTCCATGACGACACCTGTGTGTGTGTCTGTGTGGTTGTTCGGTTGCTGTGTCAATAAAGTTTTCTGTGTTTTCAGCTTGGAGGGTCGCTTCGAGGACGAGGAGCTGCAGCAGATCCTCGATGACATCCAGACCAAGAGAAGCTTCCAGTACTGAGACCTCAGCCCCCCACACACACAGCCCCGCCCCCTACAGCCCCGCCCCCGGACTAATGTGGTCAATCTGCTGTCTTGATAAAACTTTTTCTTACTTGTTGTTTTCACGCGTTTCTTGCACATTCTCAGTTCAGCTTGATTGCAGGGTTGTGTGCAGCGTCTGACCTGAACTGTTGCTGATGCTTTTTTTTGTTTTTTGTTTTGGGGGTTTTTTTAAATAAAGGTTTGATTGAACCAGTTGCTCAGTCATGTGACTTTTTCATTTGTACCATAAAATTACAAGTAAATAACCGTCTGGCACCATAACACACACACTGCAGAAAACAGATGATTTCAGCGGCATTTAAACCACGACCAATCGCAGAGCAGCACTCTGAGGCCCAGAGAACAGGAGAAATATGCACAGGTTTATAAGCTCCTCCCAACAACAGGAAGAGCACGTGGAAGCAGTTCCTCAGAGCGCTTCAGACCGAAAACGCTGCAGAGCCAGCCAGCATCAGACATTCAGGCAGTGCACCGCTGCAGCGTCCGAGTCCTCCAGAGCTTCAGGAAGGACGCCGCCTGGTGTCCTCGCCATCCTCACCGTGTTCCTACCAAACAGGGTCCTCTCCAAGTCTATCAGCTGCCTCCAGAAACCAGCGTTGGGTCGAATAAATGGTCGCTGCTCCAGAACAAGTTGGTGAGCTCGACGGAGGCTGAGACCCTGAGACCTGAAGCACAGAGACCAGAACCACATCAGAGACCAGAACCTGACTGTCAAAGTGAGACTAAAGCACTGTGGCTACCTCATGAGGTAGGCCATGATCAGCGCAGAGGACCGGCTTCTGCCGGCGGTGCAGTGGACCAGAGTCGCCCCCGTTTGGTTCTGGTTGATCCGTTCAGTTACCAGGTCGAAGTACTCTCTGAGGGGGGCATGAGGCTGGTCCTGGACGGGGATGTGGAGCACCTGCAGACCATCCAGTTGCGGGTAGGAAATGTCCTCGAGCCCACTGGCGTTGATGATGAGAGTGACATTTCTGCTGGTCAACACGCTGGTGTTCAGAGCCGAGTCCAGATCAGTGAGGAAGAGGCCGGCAGAGACCCGAGAGACCCGCATGATCCGCTGCAGGAGGACACATCACAGCGGTTCAACACAAACTGAGGTCTAACAGAACAAGGACTCAAAGAACAGGAGCTCGCCACTTCCTGTCAAATTCTCTTCAGTGAGGCGAGCAGCGGTTCAGCCAACCACACAGAACCAAAGACAGTTAGCGGGCTCTGACCAGACTGGAGACAGTACCAGTATTATTACTTCCAGGCTGGACGACTGTAATTCATTATTATCAGGATGTTCAAAAAACTCCCTGAAAAGCCTTCAGCTAATCCAAAATGCTGCAGCAAGAGTCCTGACAGGGACTAGAAAGAGAGCAGGTTTCTCCTGTTTTGGCTTCCTGTTAAATCCAGAATTCAAAATCCTGCTCCTCACATACAAGGTCTTAAATAATCAGGCCCCATCTTATCTTAATGACCTTGTAGTACCATATCACCCTATTAGAGCACTTTCTTCCTGTTAAAAGGGAGTTTTTCCTTCCCACTGTCACCAAAGTGCTGCTCATGGGGGTCAAATGATTGTTGAGTTTTTCTCTGTATCTATTGTTGTAGGGTCTACCTTACAATGTAAAGCAAGTCTAACAGCAGTTAGACTATAACTCCTCAATCACGATGTCATAAGTCACTGGACACTGTGAACATCCACGGTAACCACTTCATGCATAATGGACCTTCCATGACCTTCCAAGCTATATAGTTTATGTCTTCCGTATTTCCAACTATATCCATAATCACATACTGTGTATGCTACCATTGTATATAGTGTATTATCTTACTTTTTTCATTGATTGTACTTAAATTGTATTTTTGTATTTCCTTCATATATCTGTACCTGAGCTGAGGTGACGCAAAAATTTCCCCGTTGTGGGATCAATAAAGTCTTATCTTATCTCTCTTGAGGCGACTGTTGTTGTGATTTGGCGCTGTATAAATAAAGTTGAATTGAATCAGCATATTAAAATGCATAGTTGGTATTTTTATGCATCACTGTTTTTCACTATTGTAAACAAACAAGAGCAAAGCGTTTTGTCAGAAGTGGATTCGAAGCCACGCCTCCAGGTGAGACTGCGACCTGCACACAGGTGGGCTGACGGCAGCTCGTCCTTCATACACAGTGATAAGATAAGATAAGATAAGATAACTCTTTATTGTCATTGCACAGTCATACATAGTACAGTAGTACAATGAAATTGGAAAAACTGTCCTACGTCGGCACTACATATAACACAACACGACACGATATGACACATCACAACGTAACAAACAACACAACACAGTATATTAACTTAGTATAAAAAAGAAGAATAAGTGTATGTGTATTGCACACTGTTATTATTGCACATTAATTATTATTGCACTTTGTTATAAATATAAATATTATTGTTATCGTTTTAAACATTGTTACCTCCCCCTAAAAAGTCCAGGGAGGTATCCAGTCAGGTCAGCTATTTACATTGATCAGGGCTATTGCTATGATGATGAAGAGTGTTCAGCGTCTACTGTGGCTGTATTAACAAACTCCAAACCCGAGTCTTCCGGTTGTTATTGATACGATTCATCGATGATCCCCCAGATTATTGGGAGCAGGCTGAGCTGAAACATGCCGGGACGTGTCTGGTGTCACGGGATAATGAGTCAGCGAAGCTTTAAATAGACTCGGTTTCGTTTCTGCTCTCAGACCGACAGCAGAGACAGGTAAGGTACATTCTGACACTTTCACTCACCTGCCAGTTAGATAAGGAGCCAGCCCGCTGGTTTACAGCTTAATGAGCGTAGAACAGACAGGCCGAGGTCTGGAAACACGAACTAACCTCGCCGTGTGCTCTCAGAGGAGCCGGAGCGGCTTCAACCAGACTCTATTCAAAATTCATTCACTTTAGGGCCTCCTTCCGTTTCTGTGTTTCCCTGTTTTTCTGTTTCAAGAGATCAAGCTATTTCCCATAAGACGAGGACCCTAAGAACACATTATAAAAGTAAGTAAAATTGTATTAAGACAAGGATCACGGAGTGCTTCACAACAAAATAACAGCGCATAAAAACTAAAAAATATGAGCTTTTAGTTGTTTCTTGAAAGACAGACGAGGAAACGTTAAAGTTGGCCTGATTATTTGGAAGGATCTCCCTGAAAAACGATGAACGCTGCCTTCGTGAGGTCCGGGCCGAAAACCAGAGCGGCTCCTCCCCGTGAGTCTCAAACGCCTCCCGGTGAGCCTGCGTCCACCGGAGCGCCGAGCTCCGTGTTTCTACACAAATCTGAACGGAGTCTGGTGGCAGGAGTGTATGGGCTTGGGGACGGGTCGGGCGATCACGTGGTTTGTTTCGGCTGTTTGAACCGGATGTGTGGCGAAACATCTGACTCTTCAAAATAAAAGCCTCGGTCGACTCTGTCAAGTTAAAAATCTGTTATTACCCGTTTGATTTGATATTCATTTCGTTTCGTGATTTTATTTCATCTGATCACGTTTATTGCTTCCTGGATTCAGACTCTTCTGCTTTTCATTCCTTTCCTGCAGTTTCTCTTCTGGTCCCCTTTCGGATCAAGACCCAACAACAATGCGGAACCACCACACCAAGCAGACTTCCACAGGTACTGGCACGGCTCAGAAACCAGTCCTCCCTCAGGTCAGATACCACCCCTCCATCCAGACTCCAGAAGGCATCACTGGAACCAGAACCTCCAGTAAAACCAGACCCGGTGCTGCGCGCCCCCTTCAGACTGGGACTGACTCCCGGGCAGATCCAGGAAACAGCGGCGCCCAAAAAGCTGCCTCGGCTGCGAGACCTCCTCCTGAAGGAGGACAGAAACGGGCACAGAAACCTGTGAAGGAGGCGGTTGCTGCTGATCCAGATCCTCCCCAGAAACCTTCCCCAGCAGCCCCTCCCAAACCCGAGCAGGTGCCCCTGGATGTGGGTGTCCGTCTGGACCGGTGTGTGGTGGAGGAGGTGGAAGTCTTGACCCGCGGACAGAGAAACAACCCAGACTGGTTCGCTTGGAGGAAGAACCGAATCACGGCCTCGGTGGCACACAGCATCGCTCGCTCCGGCTTTGTTAACGGCAAGAGCAAAACTCCACCCACCTCCTACCTGGCTGCTGTCACAGGTAGGCCACACCTTCTACCACCTGGTACCCTGACTCCATATAAATGTATCTTTTAGCAGCTTCACCAGGACGTCTGCTGGTGTGAGTTTTTATTGTAACACGTGCAGGATCCTGAGAGGTCAGCCAGTAACTGGTTACCTGACTGTCTCGACAGGTGAGGGGCCCAGAGTCCAGACCAGAGCCATGAGCTGGGGGGTCCACATGGAGGCTGAGGTCATCCGCAGGTACCAGGTGTGTTTCAGCGTCTTTGTAACACTCCGCCATCTCACAAACACGGCCAGCAGGATATATGGGCATTATGAGCGCTCTGAGTTAAAGTTTAATTTAACAAGTCAAAGAAGCTCAGTATCACGAGGAAAAGACTAAAAAGTGCGACGCCTGACAGGTAAAATACAAATAAATGACTAATTACTAATTATTATGGTAATGGTCAACAGTGAACAGAGAAAATAATAGTTTTAAACCAGTGACGTGAAAGAAAGATGTGTATAAAATAATAAGAAAACCAGAATCAGTGAAAAATATCAGAAAACGCACAAAATATGTGAGAAAACCGCAATGATCACAAGAACGTTACAAACTGGGGACGAGGAGGAGGTCCTTCACTGCTGTTTTCTACACACTAAACTTTATTGAACATTTGCTGATGATGTCACTGATTACATCACCCCACAGAGGCTGAAGTCCTCGGCGTTGGGCCAGCAGGTCTGCGTTCGGGACTGTGGCTTGTTCGTCGACCCCCGGAGGCCCTGGTTGGCTGCCAGTCCTGACGGCATCGTGACGGACAGACGAAGCGGCCAATGGCTGCTCTGTCTGGAGGTGAAGTGTCCCTACAAGCACAGACACAGGCGGGTGGAGGACGCCTGCAGGGAGGACCCCGCCTTCTGTCTGCAGCTGCATGAGGAGGCCACACGGGAGCGCGGCGGGGTAGCAAACACACATCAGTCTGCTCCTCTTCCTCCTCTTCCTCCTCTTCTCTGATTCTTCCTCCTCCTCCAATTCCTCCACCTCTTCCTCTCTGATTTCGTGTCCTCCTCCTCCAGATTCCAGTGTACCGCCTGAAGACCTCCCACAGCTACTACACTCAGATCCAGTGTCAGCTGGCGGTGACGGGGCTGCGGGAGGCCGACCTCGTGGTCTTCACCCTGAAGGAAACGGCTGTGGTCCTGGTGACCTTTGACCCCGAGCTGTGGGAGGAGACAGTGTCCAAACTGGAGGTGTTTTACAGGGACGCTGTGCTGCCTCACGTCAGGCAGAAGATGCAGCAGCGTGCAGCAGCCGCTGGGACGCCGGAGCTGTAGAGGTCCAGGGCTCGCAAAATCTGTTTTTTGCCAGTCTTTTTTTCCAGTCGGGCTACCAAAGTCTATCTCTGCCCTGTCCGTCGGGCTATCGTAGGAAGGAAAAATATATGTCAATGCTTTTGCATTCTTTCGGAAATGTAGCTGGGTAATTATGTCATTGGCATCGGTGAGCCACTGTCAATATGTGACATATTGAAATTGCGTTTGAATTTGCGCTTGTTTTTTGCTTTCACTTTGCAATCGTGTGAACTGTGTATAGAGAGCGACAGCACTGATCTGTGAGTGATGATAATTTGTGCACCAATTCCTCTGACATCGTCTTATCACTCATTAGCTTACTATGCAAACATGACAAGTGAAATCTCCCGCAGCTTAAACATGTGAGAGGTTGATCGCAGAGAATCGCTGAGCTTATGTGAGTCTGTGTATAAAAGCAGCAGGATTTATATTTTAGTTCTGCTGAGCCAAATAAGACAGGTCAGGGTGAAGAAGTGACAGCCAAAGAAAAGCTTACCACAAAACGGAGAAGTTATGACAAATCAGACTATAAGGCAAAAAGAAAGTGCAGCTTTATGGTTTCATGGACAAAAGAATTTCTGTGGCTGCAATATGACGAGCTAAATAACCAGGGCTGCACATAAGTGGTCCGCAGGTGCGCATTCGCTGTCAAAATAAAAGACACGCACAAGATAAGAAGTTGCAACGCGTGTTTGGGTACATACGATTTTCTGGAGGAGGACAGACTCTTAAAGTTTAGAACTCTTAAAGATGTCGAAGAAGCTCCTTTAAGCAATTACTGTGATGTTCCTCCACCTCCAAAGAAATGTCAGAAGGAGTCTGAACCACAAAAGAAGCGCGTATTCTCGGACAAGTGGTTGCAGGAGGTGAGCTGGCTTCAAACAAATGATGAACGCACAGAGATGTGGTGCAGAATGTGCCGTGAAAATCCCACTCTAGGACAAAAACACTGCCTTTATATGGACGCAAACGCGCGCTGCAACTTCTTATCTGCTGCGCGTCTTTTATTTTGACAGCGAATGCGCACATGCGGACCACTTATGCGCACCCGTGTAAATAACACGACAAGCGCCTTTGTTACTGGGACCAGTCATTTTAAGAAAGGCCCCCATTAGAAACGCATTATTGCTCAGTCTGCAATATCTTTCCCAGAACAAACACCAATTGCAAACTAAAAATAAACCTGAAAATCAGTTTAGAGCAGCTACTATGTTGCAAAGAGTGAACTACCACTGGCACAATGTAGCCGTCTGTGCAAACTTCACAAAGCAAACGGCCTCGATCTTGGTTCCACTCGCCTCTTACCGTGACTTCAGTGGAAATTTCAAAGTCAGGATCTGACACAGATTCATGTCCTACACAGTTCTTACAAGTTCATAGAAATTTCTGTTCAATTAGAACCAAGTATTTGAGTTGATGATTGTAATTTTTATACAATGTTGTAATTTGTGTTTTAACTATTTTTTGATTAATGTTTTGTTTCCTTTACAATATTATACTTTAATGTATAATATTGTAAAGGAAACAAAGCATCAATCAAAAAATTGCTCTTTTTTTATTCGGGCTACTTAAATTTATTTTGGGCTACCAAAAACTGAAGAGTCCCTGCCCGAAGGGCTACCGGGGATTTTAAAATTTTGCGAGCCCTGAGGTCGCTACCTGCGGGAAGAGCTTTGTGGCCCGAAGCGTGTGGGGTTTACCCGCAGTCACGGCAGGGGGCGTTCTGCTGACAGACGCTGTCTTTAATCATGTGATCGCCACATATTTGGTTCATGCCGTCATCATCAAAGCATGCTGGGAGAAAGATGTCTCGCCCGGCAACCTTCCTGTTTGACCGCGATGAGTCATCATGTGGAACCTGAGTGAGCTCCACCCGCTCTTCATTTTGATAAACTGGAGTCACATGACCTCCGCCCTGCAGGTTGTTAAAGTTGTGACCTCGTAGCAAAAAGAAAATGACTGATGGTATGAAACCACAAAAGATCTGCTGATAGAGCAGCTGTGCAACAGCGCCCTCTGCAGGCCTGTTTTTCATTGAGTTGAAGTGTAGTGACCCCACAGGTGCCGGCTCCTGGCCCACTGTGGAACTGTGTGTTTTACTGGTGAGCGGACGGCGGTTTTAGTTTCCTGTTAATAAAAAATCTTTTTTTGAAAGCCAGCTTTGTCTCCACGCTCGTTGTTGCTACGCCGCACCTCCCGGACTCCTGTTGGAGCAGCACGACGAACCCCTCGGTCCACACGCACCAGTAGCGGTCTTAGATATGGGCGACACGGGCGGTTGCCCGGGGCGGCATCACAGGCATCGACAAAAAAAAAAAAAAGTTGCTCGTACTCCTGCTGCCCCGACATCAGCCAGCGAATACTGGGAATGTCATAGGCACCGATCGGTTTTCTGTCGCCCATTTGCTGGGAGTAAGGGCGCCCTCCGTTTGCGAGGTGCGCCTGCTGCTTGCAGCACAGGGAGGAGAGGGCGGGGCGGTGGGGGATTCTCTGGCTGGCTGGAGCACCGTCTAATAATCAACTTAAAAATAAAAACAAAACAACAAACACGAAAACACCAGACATCATGATGCAGACTTATAATTTGCACCGATGTTTTTTTGAAATTCTGTACACGAGAAGTGAGCGAGAGCCCTCGGTGCGCCTGCGCGGTGCTGAAGTCAAAGTAAACTTTGTCATCTCCGCTACAGACAGTCCAGCATAGAGACAGACGAGACGACGAGGCTGCAGTTACAGAGGTGCAAGGAAACAAACAAATATAAGAAGAGTAAGAAAATAAATCTACACTTTAGGACTCGGGGTAAAGGATCAATAACAATTTAAAATTTACAGTTTGATGATTTAAAGTGTCACACAACCCGTCGAAAGGGGCGGGGCCTGCTGCTTCCAAATAGAGCACATTTCATTTATAATGCTGTAAATCCAAGCCCATCATGCATTCATGATTTGAATCCTGGGTCGTGTGAAATGCACCTTAGACAAAGTGAATCTGTGAACTAAGGTGTAGGTCTGTTAGGTTATGTTGTGGTGATCCTCAGGTTGGGGGATGGGTGTTCATACTGGAGTGCAAAATTAAAACCAATGTAAGATGGACAAGAAACGTTCAAAGCCATCAGGTGCTCAGTTTAGAAAAAAGAGAAAAGAAGAGGAGGAGAAACGAGCAAAAGATGCAGGTAAGCAGACGTGTGATTGGATAATGGCAGCTCATCCTGAACCAATCAGAGTCAGAATACTTTATTAATCTCTAAGGAAATGATGTGAGTTACAGTTGCTGCAAGAAGAAATGGTAAAAACAGCAACAGTAACAGACTAAACTCCAAACAATACATTATGTTACAGATTTTAATATTAATGAGTCAGTGTCAGTTGTTGATTTGTCCTGTTCTCATTGTGTGACGTGTTTGGTAGCTGTTTGTATACACTCTCTCTTCATATGTGTGCGTGTTTCTCTGGTGAAATTCAGTGTGGTTCTGACAACGATGTTAACGTACAATCCTTAATATGTTGCGTGTGTGTGTGTGGGGGGGGAGTGTTCGCCAGGGCGCCAAACGGGCTAGGACCGCCACTGACACGCACACATGCTGGGCGGGGTCCGGGTGGTGGTTTAGGGCAGTCAAGCTGTCACTGTTGGATTCTAGGATATGTTTAATCATAAAAATGTTTTATTAATTTACTTCTATAAATTCTTCTGTGCTTCAAAGAATTTGACCCATTGTTGTGGCAGGATGACGGAAGGTTCTGGAATGTAGTGAACCATCTGCAAAAGCCATGAGGCTAAACCTCAGCCATACTGCGCCAAATTAATACTATTATTTCTGTGATTATTAATTATCATATTTAATGACATCATTTGTCACAGAAAAGAAACAGTATAGGTGAAATAAAGCCATTAAAAACACTCCTGTATAAAATAAACCCATCAGAGAAAGTAAAGAAACCAAACATCAGATCTCACTGGGAGAAACGAAGCTGGGTGACGTGATCGGGAGGAAACGGTGCCACATCGTTTGACTCACACAGAGTTCAACGATACCCCAAAGATCAACATCAAAGTGAGTCCACTGAGCTGAAATTTCCCTGCAGCAACTCAGCAGCTGTCCTGAGGGATCTCCTCCCACATCTGGACCTGGGCATCAGGACGAGGTGCAGACATTGTGTCCCCGAAGACTAAGGTCACTGGTGTCAGTTCCTTGGAGAAAACAGGTCCAAATATGTCTGCAGCAGCTCTGCTGTGCACATGTGGTCACGTTACCGTGAGCTGGGGTGGAGGGGACACTTATAGGCAAGACATGAAACTGTGGAAGAGACTGCGATGTTTAAGGAGCAGGTGGGGAGAAACCTGATGTCTGGTGTTTGTCCGAGGCTTCACGATCACTGTTGGAAAGGCCAACGTGTGGCTGGAGACTGCTGCACCCCTTGGCTGAATGAGACAGCGCCCTCTGCTGAAAACCCTCGGCACAGCATCTGTTGTGATTGGTTGGTCATCTTGTAATAAAGGTTTGTCACAAAGCCAGCTCTTTGAGGCTGATATCCAAAACAAAAACAAGACAAGGTGAGTTGAGGGAAAAAAACTAAACTAAAGCCTAAACTGTGGCAAACTAAAAATAAACATGAAACTATGACATGGGACGTAATCTGAACAGGTGTATGCAAAAACTGTGACCAAAAACTTGAAGAGGAGCATGAAAACAATCCTGAGACTTACAGTGACAGGAGATAAGCAGACGACCCGACACTGAACAGCAAGAGACAGAGGACTTAAATGCACAGAAGGGTATTGAGGGAAGTGGAAACACTCGGAAAACACAGCTGACACAAATGAACATGACGCCAGGGAGGAAACAAAAGTAACGCAATGAACATGGAGCACAAGACCTTCAAAATAAAACAGGAAAGACGCAACCCAGTATGCACAATACAATCCTTCAGGGGAAGGATGCTGCGTAGGATCCTTTGACGGCCAGTTTGGACACAAGTGAGGGGCTGTGAAACTGGACAGCCTTCTAGCCTTCCTTTATTTATTTATTTATATTTATAATAAATATAAAAGAAAAAGAAAAAAT